ACTTGATGCATCACAGGGCAGGGATTCAGGGACGAGGGTAACGCCCTTTTCTTTTTTTATTGAAATTTCTTTATATATATGACCGAATCTTTCATTTTTTCATCTTTTCTTCGATGGAGTGATAATGTCTCTGTCTTTGGATTCTTGCTATAGGTCAACAACATCACAATTCAACAATGACACCACCATTTTAAAGTGGTATTTTTCTTCTCTCGAATTCATTTTTAACTTTGGAGTTCTCAAACAACCAATAAATTAGAAGTCATTTTTCCAAATTTAGTTTCACTGCATTGTGATATTTGAATAGGCTCTCCATGTATACATGAACTTATAATCTTCAATTGAAGTTTAGATTTTAGGTGCAGATATATCTATTTTTCATCATATACATGTGATTTTTAAATATTACAACAGATAAGTCTTAAAGTTGTTATACATATTTAGTTTTAAGTCCGTATAATCAGTTAAATGTCTTTCAGTTCTCTCAATACGAAATGTGAGGGTGAAGCCTCCAAGTGCCAAGTGAAAGAAGCTAGAAGAATGAAAAACAACAGTCCCTACTGCAACTCCTCGCAGCAACTGCATATGCATTTGGTATGTTTTTACCGTTCATCACCCACTTGGAATATCAGGTTTTTTATACCTTGGAATCCGAACAAAATGCAAAAAAGAATTTACATGTTTTACGGTCCTATAATGTGTTCTACTCTTTGATTTTGTTGGTTGTTTGTATATATTTTTATAAGTTTCATGAAGCCAATTTTTTTAGTCTATTTATTATTTTTCTTTTATTATATTAATTAAGTGTCAATGGATTTGGAGTTTGAGCATTTTCTTATTAGTTCAGATTTTGCTTGAATATGCATGTTTAATTAAGCATTGATTTTTTACTATTATTTTGAGCCTCCAACAAAAAGAGTAACCTTTTATTATTATTTAGGTTTCAAAAAAATTTGGCTTCACATTGCTCGAGGTAGAAACAAAAATCAGATCTTCCACAATGGAGTTATCTTATGTACGGAGTATATTAAATACATGTTCATGCATAGTTTTGCATTTTTCTTATCATTAATGTAGCTGATGATTGATGGTCATCTTGGCAACATTGTTGTGCTGGTATTAGATTAATAAACTTGGAATCACGAGCAATTTACATTTCTCGATCAGAAGCTGCTTTACGACCCTTTTATTTACTTTTAGCAGGAAAAAAAGCAGTAATTGTTCCCGCACAATCGTATTCTGAGCAATACAACGCAAGCTGGCGGGATGCTTGGCGATCATTGAAAACTGCAAGCCCCCAAGCACTTAGCAATATGGATGGAAGCATGAGGCACATCCATAGGAGACAAAGAAAAGGCNNNNTAAACTTGGAATCACGAGCAATTTACATTTCTCGATCAGAAGCTGCTTTACGACCCTTTTATTTACTTTTAGCAGGAAAAAAAGCAGTAATTGTTCCCGCACAATCGTATTCTGAGCAATACAACGCAAGCTGGCGGGATGCTTGGCGATCATTGAAAACTGCAAGCCCCCAAGCACTTAGCAATATGGATGGAAGCATGAGGCACATCCATAGGAGACAAAGAAAAGGCGAGCATTTTAATCTGCTGGGTGCAGCATTGGTGACAGACGAATTCTGGGAGGGGGTATATGGTGGCTCTGGTGGCTGTCAAGGCTGGCTTCACTTCAACGCAGATTGGATTGAGAATAGACATAGGGCGAGGGAGTACTCAAACGATTAAAATGAATAGAGAAGACAGTGAGATCTTCAGGAACATTGCAGCTTGAAGAAGAGGGAGATGGGTGGAGGTTGTCTTTGCAAGAGTTAAGCAATTGTTCATCATCTTTCTTGACATTGACCCCGCAGGTACAACACATCCAAATTTCAGCATCAATTCCTTCATTTTTTTTCATAATTGAGATTTCAAAGCTACCTTCTTGCCATTTGTACTCTTATATATATCTCTCCATATGAATTTCATATCCATTAATATCATCAAATTTGTAACTTCATCTTAAAACAAATGCGGGATTTTTTTAGATCAATTTACTTGAAGTGTACCCTAAACAATCCATTTTTTGTGTGATTAATTCCTAGGTTCAATCCAGGTTTTTCTTAATTGTTAATCGCAAACAGTAAATTGACGTAAAAACTATGATATATTTATTTTCTTTTTCAGACGCTTTTAGATTTAATGGAGAGGTAAAACCATTTTCTATATCTTCTACCTGATCCTTTTCATTACTACTCTTGAATCTAAAAATGAAAGATTGGGATTGAATGAAGATGATAATACAAATGGTGGTTGATTGTTCTTGGAAAAATGAAGAGAACTTTAGAGGGAGCAACGCTGTCGAGGATGATGACAACGACGGGCTAGGGTTTCGATCCTAACATAACCGACGACTAGAATGACGAGCGACGACCTTCAATCTCTCTTCCACATTTGACTGCCCTAGAAAAGCTCTATTTTTGTTCTTCTTCCTTGGTCTTTGCATCTCGACTTTCTCAGTTTGCGGCTGCAAGATAGCCAGGTTCCAAAGTAGATGGCTTCCTCCCCAATTTTCATCGACAGATTAGAGATCCTATTTCTATAATTTAATTGCAAATTGTGATAAAATAGATGAAGTCCCAATAATTTTTAGATTCTACTTTAAATTTTTTGCATCAATTTTTTTCCTTATGTGGAAGGAAACATTGATGGTGAATGGAGCACTTGATGGTGCTCGCAATGGAGTGATGTCGAGAAAGTGTTCATTTGAAGTAGAAGCAATGATTGAGTCAATAAGAGCAATTTACAGGTCTTACTCTTCCTCCATTTTTTATATTTTATTTAGTTTTATATTTCTAACTTTTTTCACTATTTTTATTTTGAAGCATCTGAAAACCACCTCCAAACTTCACATGAAGCAAATCAGTAAATTTTCAACTCGAGCTTTTGCAAATTAAAGGAGATGGTTTGAAGATCAAGATCAGGTATCAGGTCAGTGTTTTTTATTTCATTTCTTAAATTTTGATTTTTTTGTAACATTTTCTAAAAAAAAATATTTTTTGAAAATTAAATAAATGAAATATTTTAATTTGAGAAAGATGGCATGTATTTTATTTTATTTATTTGTATACCACAAAAGAATTTGCCTACTATTTGTGATAAAATACCATAAAACTTCTATTTATACGTGATGCTATATTTGTACATATGTATCTATCCTTTGATACAAAGATTCATCAATCAACATCATCATTTTTCACATTTTAATGTAAACAGAATTATGCACCGTGCAACACACATGTAATGCAAAAACTTATTTATGCAATATGTGGTTATTTTGACAAATCGATAAAGATTAATAATTTTAAATTGCAAAGAAGAAAAAAATGTCTCATATAATACCGTTTATGTTGTATATAATTTAATATTATAGAGTTTTTACCGTGCATCGCACGGGTTAAAAACTAGTCTATACAATGGTGAGAGGCATAAATGAACAGTACTCCCGCCCAAATTTTTGTTCCGGGTCATTATTTATTGGGCTGGCTTTAAAATGTGGGCTATGAAAAGCCTATTAGTGCAGCTGTCCCTATATGCCGAGTAAAAAGGAAAACAATTCAAGCGTATTCCGTAAGCTTCTCCAAAATCGAGATCTACGCCGGCTTCAATTCTATCAAGAAGAGAAGGGCAAAGCGACTAGGTTTTGACCCTTCTTCCGCTATCGACAACAGGGATTCAAACAGAAGAAGGTGGGAGACGACAACGCCGGCTAACCTTCTACCCTAGGCTGGCTGGAGGGGCTTTGCACATTACTAGCATACCGAACGCAGGGAGCAACAACCTTAATGCGGTGTTCTCGAGAGTGCACCCGTCCAGACACGATCTCCTCACTATCTCGAGACTGCACATTTTCCGATCCTCTACAGCCGCGTTCTCAACCGGTGCAGCAGAGATTGATTTTTCTTCCGATCCTCTTCGCTCCCTAAGCCTAGGCCAGATTCGTAGTGCCAGAAGAGAGACGACAGTGATAAAGGGGTAAGGATGCAGCGAGGACGGATGGCAGATGCAGGCTAGGGTTTCAACCATTAAATTCAGAGAACAACTCCTCGACTTGACGCATCACAGGGCAGGGATTCAGGGACGAGGGTAACGCCCTTTTCTTTTTTTATTGAAATTTCTTTATATATATGACCGAATCTTTCATTTTTTCATCTTTTCTTCGATGGAGTGATAATGTCTCTGTCTTTGGATTCTTGCTATAGGTCAACAACATCACAATTCAACAATGGCACCACCATTTTAAAGTGGTATTTTTCTTCTCTGGAATTCATTTTTAACTTTGGACTTCTCAAACAACCAATAAATTAGAAGTCATTTTTCCAAATTTAGTTTCACTGCATTGTGATATTTGAATATGCTCTCCATGTATACATGAACTTATAATCTTCAATTGAAGTTTAGATTTTAGGTGCAAATATATCTAGTTTTCATCATATACATGTGATTTTTAAATATACTAGATCCTAAAGTTTGATAATATTACAACACATAAGTCTTAAAGTTGTTATACATATTTAGTTTTAAGTCCGTATAATCAGTTAAATGTCTTTCAGTTCTCTCAATACGAAAGGTGAGGGTGAAGCCTCCAAGTGCCAAGTGAAAGAAGCTAGAAGAATGAAAAACAACAGTCCCTACTGCAACTCCTCGCAGCAACTGGATATGCATTTGGTATGTTTTTACCGTTCATCACCCACTTGGAATATCAGGTTTTTTATACCTTGGAATCTGAACAAAATGCAAAAAAGAATTTACATGTTTTACGGTCCTATAATGTGTTCTACTCTTTGATTTTGTTGGTTTTTTGTATATATTTTTATAAGTTTCATGAAGCCAATTTTTTTAGTCTATTTATTATTTTTCTTTTATTATATTAATTAAGTGTCAATGGATTTGGAGTTTGAGCATTTTCTTATTAGTTCAGATTTTGCTTGAATATGCATGTTTAATTAAGCATTGATTTTTTACTATTATTTTGAGCCTCCAACAAAAAGAGTAACCTTTTATTATTATTTTAGGTTTCAAAAAATTTGGTTTCATATTGCTCGAGGTAGAAACAAAGATCAGATCTTCCACAATGGAGTTATCTTATGTACGGAGTATATTAAATACATGTTCAAGCATAGTTTTGCATTTTTCTTATCATTAATGTAGCTTATGATTGATGGTCATCTTGGCAACATTGTTGTGCTCGTATTAGATTGATAAACTTGGAATCACGAGCAATTTACATTTCTGAGCAATACAACGCAAGTGAACAACTTCCAGACACGATCTCCTCACTATCTCGAGACTGCACAACTTCCGATCCTCTACAGCCGCGTTCTCAACCGGTGCAGCAGAGATTGATTTTTCAAAGAGGGCCTAAAAGTGTTAAAGTTGCTATGATTAACCAGGTAAGGGTACTACAAAATAATTTACCAACATGCATAAAGAATTTATCAAAGAGCCTATATTTTATATTATTATTAGTATATTGAAGTATTTACAGTAGAAACTATTTTCTTATGCACATATCCTTTTGAGCTAATGATTCATATACATAGTGCTTTTCTATTTGGGATATGAGGAATCTATTTTTTAGTGTGGGTTCGCTAGATAAAAAATATTTGAAGCTGTAATTGGCCTTATGAGTTTTAGACTTTGTTCTTAACACTCTTGATAAATTTCCGACGTATTTATTTTGCTGCTATTTGACAAAAACGATCACTACTTTGTAACATTACTCAAAATTAAGGTTAATGGCTATGGTCTCTGATCAAGCTATAAAATAAGAAAATTTTAGGATCTAGCTTGCTTTCATAACAACCTGAATGTTTTTGGTAAGTTAGAAAAAGATGCATGTAGTTTATGAAGTTTTAATTTGGAATCAGAACACACGTTTTAACGTGCTTGAAGACATTGTTAAAATTGATTCAAGACATCCAAGGCTTTTTGTAACACTTAACCACATCTTCAATATTTTGTTATGAAAATGTTACTCAAGTGACATTAACAATTGATCTCTTCACTCACTATTGGGATAGCATTGGAACCCTAACTTTATCCATGGACAACGATTTAATTCCGGTAATCGACAACTACAGACGACGAGATAACACCCTGTCCTTTTTTTTATTTCAAATTATTTATATTTAAAGAATGCTTATAAGTATTTTGGTACTTGGAGTTTCCAAATCTTATAACTCTAGGTTTGGCGATGGTGGAAGAAGACCACGACAAGGACAAGGGACAACTAAGATGGAAATGAAGAAGCTTTGTGGTCACTACGGAGCTGCATGATAATGACTGGTAGTTTTAATACTTCTTTGTCTCACCTCTCTGCTTCTTCTATTTCTTTTTTTGGTCATACTAATTTTCACTTCTGTTCGGTTTCACATCAATGGATACTTTGATATTTTCTTCTGTGTCTTATGCTACAATCTATGATTTGTGATATGTCAAAAAAATATTGCATTGCAGAGTCATTATTGAGTAATCTGAGCTCCTAGGTCAACAAGCATACTGTGTCTCAGCAATTCTTCTATTATTTTTTCATTAGTTTATTTAGGTACACTTTGACAATACTTAGAAAGATATATACACAAATAGCATCCCTTTCAAGTGATTTGTATGTTGTGTAATTGTACAGATTATTTTGCACAAACTCAATTTATTTATATCATGCGGAGTAAAATTTATTCATTGTTTCTTTAAAATAATAGTCAAATATTCTTCTCGTGCAATGCACAGAAATTATTAAAAATTTTGATTTGCAATAAAGACCTTCCTTCATGTAACTAAACTACGAATGTAATTTATAAAGAAGTGTTCCAAAACTTATAACACTTTCAAAACTCCCCTTCCTTTTTTTTTCAATTTATATAATCTTTCAGGTTTTTGTTACATTTTCTAACCTGTTAAACTGTAAATTTAGCTTTAAGTAAGGCAAAAACTCAGGTTTAATCATAATTAAAACTTATATTTTAATTAAACTATCATCTTCTTTGGACTTTGGAGAAGGATTCACACACCGAGATCAGAGCCTAGGGCAGTTTCCTAGCGCCGGAGGGACAAAAAAGAAAAAAGAGGCAGGAAGCATATCCAAGTCCCCAACGCCTTCTCTTCTTTTGAATTTGGTATTTAGTGTTTTTAAAGTACGGTTGACTGTTTTACTAGATTTATCGATCCAGATTTGTTTTATTATTTATTTAATTTTTTTGTTTCGGCAGATTAGTACGTCGGGGAGTAATATTTTCACGGTGGTAGATTAGCTTGCCGGGGAGCAGTCTTTGCATGGTGGTGGCAGTAAGGTAAGATCACTGTGCCGGAACATGGACAATTAATACAAAATTAATTAGTAGGTAATCTAATTTCTCCTACGCTAATATGGTTTATGACGGCCATGGCGAGAATGGTGGCAACCTAGAGTCCCCTAGACGGGTATCGAACAAGCAAGAAGCAACTCGGCTATGTAGCTCCGGGCTTTCAATCCGTCCGGCTTGCTTCTCTTTTTTGATTGTTTTTTATTTTAGTTTCTATTCTTAATTTTATTTAAAAATCAATTTGATTTTTTTCAAAAACTAAATATTTCTAGGCCTCAATGAGGGAATATTTAGAGAAAATACATTTTGGAGAATATAAATCTAGAGACAAGTTTTCGGAGAATATATATTTGGAGACAAGTTTTTGATGTGATGAAAATAATGTTGACAATTTTATTTTAGATCATTGCACAAAAAAGAAGCTAAGCTCAAAATCATGTGTTGCCCTTTACTTTTTAACACTTGCTGGCATATCATTTTTTACTCAGCATTTAGGTTTAGTAATACATTTAGAAATTTTGTTTTCAAATAAGTAAATGCAATACATATGACCATGTTAATGAGTAATATGCTCTTTTATCAGTCCAAAGCATTCTTGGCTAGGACTTTATTAGAAAATCTATAGAATATGATATTTAAAACGGTGAAGTTGTGAAACTCTTCACACAAAATCTTCTTTATAAAGTAGCGAAGTATCTCAGGATGAATACTATATAAGGAATGTTAATGATTCCTCTTTCAAGTTTTGGGATGCTAATCACCCTAGGTTGGTAAAGATGTATGACATGCCCTGCAATGTCGAATCTGCTTCGTTGGAACCTTTGTCAGGCAACAAGTTCATATAGCTCAATGGTGGGGAAGATAAGTGGGTTCTATTCGTGTTTTTGATTTCCAAACAGGCTGGATGCAACACGAGTCACCATGGTCTGAACTAGGGCTGTTCACATTTATGTCCGGACCGAAAAAACCGACCGAACCGGACCGATAGGTCCAGACCGAACCCGGACCGAATGGATTTCGGGTCGGTCTTCGGTCCGGTCCGGTCCAAACCCGAAATGATTTAGGTCCGGACCGATTGGACCTAATGACCTACTGGACCTAAAAGACCTAAATACTAAAACTCTACTTTTTAAATTTCGTATTACACTTTGATGCTCTATTTTAATAAATATTTTAATTTATTTAATTTAAAGTGTTTTTTATTAAGTAATTTTAAAAAAATCTTTAAAAAAAACATTTCATATTTGTTTTTATGGTTCTACATTGAAGTAGTTCATATTGTTTATCCATTTTAAAGCTNTTGGACCTAATGACCTACTGGACCTAAAAGACCTAAATACTAAAACTCTACTTTTTAAATTTCGTATTACACTTTGATGCTCTATTTTAATAAATATTTTAATTTATTTAATTTAAAGTGTTTTTTATTAAGTAATTTTAAAAAAATCTTTAAAAAAAACATTTCATATTTGTTTTTATGGTTCTACATTGAAGTAGTTCATATTGTTTATCCATTTTAAAGCTTCCTATTTTTTTTATTCATTTTCTATTTGAATGGTACAAAGTAAAAAGTCTAAAATATATTTAATTGATCAAAATAATTAAAAAAAATATAATTTTTTCGGTCCAATCGGTCCGGACCGGTTCGGTCCTAAATACTTCGGTCCGGTCCGGTCCAAACCCGAATGGATTTAGGTCCGGTCTTCGGTCCAAGAATTTACTCATTTCGGTCTTCGATCCGGTCCGGGTCGGTCCGGTTCGGTCCGGTCTTGGACCGATGAACAGCCCTAGTCTGAACATAAACTCAAAAACTTCTTCCTTTTGATTTCCAAACATGATAAACTCAATTTTGAATAGATGTTACAATATGAAGCTTTTTTATAAGATTTTTTTTTATAATTTGTAATTTTGTTTGTTTAGTGCTAGCAATTGGAAAAAAGTTACCTTGATGTGTATAGAATTACTATCGAAATAGATCACATACTACTTCTTTTGTCATTTCACCTTTTTATAATTAGTTCTTTTTTAGACAATATTAATAATTTCCTATTTTGTATGGAGTAGAATATATTATTTTTATCGTGCAACGCACGGGTAAAAAAATCTAGTCTACCTATATACAAAGGCAGCAGGAAAAAATTTCCGCATAAAACATTGGGCCTGTGGAATTGTTCAAAGCTCCTATATATATATATATATATATATATATATATATATATATATATATATATATATATATATATATATATATATAGACACACACACACACACATATATACATATAGGAAGCGTCTAAAATGACACCAGTTACTTATACACCAGTCGCTTACACCAGTTTGTTTGGCTACGGTGCCCCGTTTGTAAAAATAACGGTTCCTACCCCCCTAACCTTTCTCCCTAAACCCCCCACCCCAGCCTCACCCTTGCCCCCCTACCCCATCCCCCCCTCCCTACCCTGGCAGTATAATGCCCAGGGTAGGGAGGGGGGGCTGGGGTAGGGGGGAAAGGGTGGGGCTGGGGTGGGGGGTTTAGGTGGAGGGTTAGGGGGGGTAGGAACCGTCATTTTTACAAACGGGGCACCGTAGATTCTCCAAACGAACTGGTGTAAGCAAATGACCAGTAGCACTAGTGTCATTTTAGACTTACTCATACATATATACATACATACATATATACATACATACATATATACATATATACATATATATATATATATATACATATATATAAATATATATATATATATATATATATATATATATATATATATATATATATATATATATATATATATATATATATATATATAATGGGATTGACTCCGGTTAGATGATGAGTTTCGGTAAGATGACGGTTCCCATCAGATGACACGCGCGCTCTTCAAACTTCCCGTTTCATTTCCCGTTTCCATCTTCTTCCACAATTTCATCCTCTTCCCGTTTCCATCTTCTTCCCCAATTGTCGCCAATGCCATCTTCTTCTCCAATTTTCATCCTCTCTTCTCCAATTTCATCTTCTTCGCAAATTCGAATCTGAAATCCCTATCCGCCTCTTCAATTTATCTGACCTCTGCATTTAATTCCCAGATATGGAAGACATCAGATTCAACCTATCATTGGATTAGTCAAGGGTATTCCTTCTTCTTCATCCGTTGGACAGCATACTACTTACCAGGTAATTCGTTCTACTCTGTTTCTTTATGCCTTTTTAGGATAACTTTTTTAGGAGAATTTATCAAAAAGAGCTCTTTTCTTTGTGATGAAAGTAATGGAGAAAGGTATGAAAAAAGTTGTGACTATGAATTTGTGAGTATGGTGATTTGAGATACCTGATGGATTCTCAATGAGTGAGTACTAAGATTTATTTTGGTTGCTATCTTGTTTTATTCATCCTTAATATACAAACAAGAATGTGGAAACTCAGTAATATTTTGTGAGTTTTATCAAAATGTTTGATGAGTTTTATCAAAATGGATACATTCTGTACAGGCTTTCAATGGACATTATCAAAATTGCAAAAATTGAACTATCAAAATTGCAGAGTAATCACCATCGCACTAGTTGATGTGATGCAAAACCAGTGGTGGGAGGTAGGGTAGGCAGTGATCAAGTGTCTAATTTAAGAGCACAATAAATTCTAACTTAGTCTAACTGATCCAAGCACAACTACTGGAGTCACAAGTTAAACACATATCAGGACACAATTAACATTCTATTATGTTACACACTTACACGTCACCATACTGAGCATTATTAAGCTGTAAACAGCCAACATGCAAATACAGAAAAGACATTCAAACATGAACATATGCAACCTAATGTCCATCATTCTGCCACAGCAGAAGCATGTTGTCTTATGACCTTCAGCTTCTTTTATCTGCCTTAAAATGTCTGCTCTTTTCGGCTCTAAATGTTCCATTTTTAAATTGATTTTCTCCAGATAGATAAATAAAAGTGCAAAAGAAATTGAACACGGTTTATGTTCACTTTTCCTCATGATAAGAAATTACAGTTTATGTTTATTTTCTCCCTCTTTGACATATTCTATAGGTTGCTTTTATCTTATGCAAATGGAAAGCTATTCAATTGATTCTAGTTTTCTACAAACGCCATCATTTGCTTCTATAACTTTGGGGAATTGGGTTCCTGATGTACCAGACAACTTAAAGATTCAAATAGGTCAAGTTTTTTCGAGTTTTGTAGAATGCCAAGCATTCTACAATCAGTATGCCCGAGAATCAGGGTTTAGCATATGTTGTGGTTCATCTTCAAAAAGTAGAAATGAGGATAAAACTTGGAAAACATGTGTGTTCAAAAGAAGGCTTTAGGAAACAACCTAAAACTGGCCTTGAAGTTATAATCCATCCCATAGTGGTTCGAGTGGTTTACTGGCCGAACTAGTGGTTCACTGGTTTACTGGTCGAACTAGTGGTTCGAGTGGTTGAACTGGTGGTTCAAACATTTTTAATAAATAGATAAATAAATAAATAAATAAATAAATAAATATATACACACACATTGTGGAATTGAATTAAAAAAACTAATATATGATTAATAAAGTAATATTTCCTCTATTTATAAATAAAGAATTGATGTTTTACTAAATTTATAATTTAACTTAATTTACTTGAGTTGTTTCATTAAATAAAAAATAAAGCTTACTTATATAAAAAATCTTAGAAATAAAAAGTGGTTTGAATTTTTTTAAACATTTTGTCTAGTATTTAAAAATATATATAAAATATTTGTGTAATATGCACTCCATATCAATTACCTCAATGGGTTTTGAATTTTAGGAAAAAAAACTATATATACTTAAAAAGTATTTGATAAAAAATTTGAATAAAGAATATAAAAAACGAATAGTTGAAAGTTCCTACTAAGCATTATAGCAGAGATGGCTTGGAGAAGTTCTTACTCCCATGCAGTCCTGTGTACGAACCCCCAGGCGTGCATTTTTTAAGATTTTTCATAAAAGATTTGAAAAAACCGGATCCGGCGGTAAAACCGATCGGTTTTAACCGGTTCCCACCAGTTCATAGTCGAAGGCGGTTTGAATGCCCGGACTGGACCGGTTTGGTGTCCGGTTCACCGGTTCCCAGTCCGAACCGACCGGTCCGGTCTGGTATTTAAAACTATGACACATCCTCAAGAGCAGGATCCCCTTTCTGAGCAGTATCCCCTATCTGAAGAATCAATAACCTCAAAACAACCAAAAAGAAAGAAAAGAGCTGAAACTTGAGAAGGTTGCCGCGCTCGTATTTTAGTTGTGTCATGTGAGGAGGGTTGTAAGATTATTCAGTTCGAAGAGTCCCATGTCCATTTCATGGTTACTCCGAGCAGAAGACATTTCCTATCTTCATCGAGGGAAGTTTCTACATCGCACAAGCACATGTTGTGTAGTGCTAGTAGAGTCAATGTAGGTCCCTCTAAGGTTTTTGATGTTACGGCGGAGGTAATGATGGGTCATCAAAATGTGGGTTGTACGAAAAAGGATTTTTTGAACTATCAAAGAAGCTTGAAGGCCATCATTAAGGACAATGATGCCCATATGTTTATTGACACGTTAAAGAGGAGAAAAGAGACAGAGCTAGGGTTTTACTTCGCATATTAAGTGGATGAAGAGAGTCGCTTGAAGAGAGTGTTTTGGGCTGATTCATTAAGTCGTTTAAATTACTCTTCATTTGGAGATATACTCTCATTTGACACAACACATGGCACGAATAAGTATGATCTTACTTTCTGCCCCTTTACTGGTGTGGATAACTGCCGTAAGTTGATTTGTTTTGGGGCAGCGTTAGTTTGTAATCGGAAAGGAGACTCCTTTATTTGGCTTTTTTCAAAATTCTCAGAGTCAATGGGAGGGAAGCAACCAATAAGTATAATTACTGATCAGGACCATTCTATTAGGTTAGCCCTTTTTGAAGTGTTTAAGAAATCAATACATGGGTTTTGCATCTGGCATATACTAAAAAAAGTTCCAGAATATGTGGGCCCCACTGTGAATTCATCTGAAGACTTCTATACGCGTTTGAAATCCTGTGTTTGGTCCTCAGAGAGTCCTGAAGAATTTGAAGAGGAATGGCTACGCATAATGACTGATTTTGATTTGTTGTGTAATTATTGGTTCCCACATATCTTTTCAATAAAGGAGCAATGGGCCCAGGTATATTTTGATACCACATACTTAGGTGTTGTTGTAAGAACGTCAGGTTCAGAAAGCCAAAACCAAACGTTCAGTTGTTTGACAAACCAACTAATAAGTTTGGTAGAATTTTGGGTGCGGTTTCAGCATGCCATTGATACTCATCGTGACAATGAGTACAAACAACAGAATGCATCCTTAACTTCAAATCCCGTTCTAAGAACAGAATTACCCTTGGAGCGCCATGCACGGGAGGTTTACACACACACCAATTTTTACTTGTTTCAAGAAGAATTTTGGAATGGCTTTTGCTACTGTGGTATCCAAGGGATGGAATCTGTTGAAGGTCAAACAATGACAGCCGTAAGAGATAATCATGGTGCAAAAGGGAAGCTGTATCACAAGGAATACCTTGTAGGCATATTCTGTCAGTTTTGAATGGGCAAGGGCTTAGAGAGCTGCCAAAGGTTTATATTTTTGATAGATGGATAAAATATGCAAAGAAAAGAGGTGTTGTTGAAGGCACGGTGCATTTTGATGAAACATTTAACACAACGAAGCTAGAGAATCAAACTTTATCTAATATCTGGTGCAAGTTTTACAGCTGCATGCTTCTGGCAGGGCGAGATTATGAGAAATTGAAAGTGATTTTAGAGAGTACGACTTCCCTTGAGCATGAACTCACTGATATGGGGCCAATAGTTGGAAATGATAAAAGGAAAGACTTGGAAACTTATTTTGGATGCAAAGTGCCTGATAAAGTTGAAATCCATCCTCCTACCATTGGAGTCACGAAGGGAAGGAAAAGCAGGATTAAGAGTGGTGTGGAGAAGGGTCAAGAAAAACAAAAGCACACTCGACGTTGTCGTTCATGCAACAAAATGACTACGCATGACAGCCGTAATTGTCCATTGAAAAACAACAGGTTACTTTTAAATGTTTCATTTTAGTTGTTTCATTTTAACTTACATTTAGATTTTAATAATCCTTCTTTTATAGCAGAAGCAGCAGTGATGAAGAGTAACCAATATGCTCCCGTGGTTTAGCATATACGCTGTTATTTAGGATTCTGAAAGAGATTACCTTGACAGGTATCATGTGCAATCTAATTTGATTCCAAATATTTATCTTTATATATAAGTAAAGTAATCAGGGTATTCGTGTAAAGATATGTCATATTTTAAAAGATCAAGGTTGTGGGTGTCCTCTTACTCTAAGAAACTTCTCATCTGTTACAATTATCGATATGATCATCATCAAAGTGTGTGTGTAGCAATAAGCTGACTAAATGGATTTTGACTTGACTGAACAGTTTTGGTACAATTATGTTGCTTATTATTTGGATTTTTTAATGTTGTTGCTTTGGTCATGTGGGAGGCTGATTTGAGATTAGTTGATTTGAGATTTGTTGGTGTCTTTATTTCTTAAAGTTGACTATCACCTTGACTATCACCTGATTTGAGGTTTTTTTTCTTTTTACAGTGACTATCACCTGTTAACTTGAAGCAAAACAGCAATAGGGAGGTCTAGCAGCTACAGCTTAGAGAGTAGCAGAAGCCGAGGTTGGAATTTGAGCTCTGTACACATGCCTACTGTTCCGTCTTAGTGACATTGTGGAGCATCTCATTTTGGGAAACCTATGTGTTCTTTTTTTAATCTATGATTGTCTAAGCATTTTAATCTAGGAACTATTCTTAATGATATTTGTATCTCAGAATCTTAGTTCTTTTGGGATTTCTATTTTTTATTCGGGTTAAATACTTGGAGTGGAAGTATACAACACCAGGTCCAGTTCGGACAACCATTTGACAAAAATTAGCTCGACTTCTTTTTTACCAGAGATCCGTTTTTGAAATACTGAATTTTGAACAGAGGATGACTGAAGCTGAATGACATTGAACTTGAAATGTCCCGTAAAATATGGATCAAACCCGGCTGAACCTCAACCTGACCAAATTGGTAATGAAAGGTTTTTTCAAAAACTAGCAACTTAAGAACATTAATATTGAGAATATTCTTTCTGTCTCATATCTTTCTTATCATTGTCACTTTTTTTGCCAATGCTTTTAAACGATGACTATATTTTTTTCCCATTTTGACTTTTGGGGCCAACGTTTTAAACTTTGAGAATAAATTATGGAAAAAATATATTAGATTTTGATAAAAATTTAAGAGTAAAAAGAATGGACATCGGGCACTTCTCATCCATTTCCTTTTGTAAATGCGCCACAAAATTGCCTTCTTGTTAATAACCCAATACATGGGTATAAAAAATTGATGAGCTTTGTCAATGTATGTGGTGAGCTTAGTAGTTAATTTTGGTGAGCTTTGTAGTTATGTTTGGGGAGCTTTCTTAATATATTTGGTGAGCTTTATAGTTATGTTTGGTGAGTTTTCTAGTTATGTTTGGTTAGCTTTTTTAAAATATTTGGTGAGCTTTCTCAATATATTGGGTGAGCTTTCTAGTTATGTTTGGTGAGATTTCTTAATATATTTGGTGAGCTTTCATGTAAAAAAACAAAGTCTTAGTCTTAAATTATTTGGTGAGCTTTCTAGTTATATTTGTTGAGCTTTCTCAATATATTTGGTGAGCTTTGTAGTTAAGCTTGGTGAGCCTTGTAGTAATGTTTGGTGAGCTTTATAGTAATGTTTGGTGAGCTTTCTCAATATATGTGGTGAGCTTTCATGTAAAAAATAAAGTCTTAGTCTTAAATTATTTGGTAAGCTTTGTAGTTATGTTTGGTGAACTTTCTAGTTATGTTTGGTGAGCTTTCTAGTTATGTTTGGTGAGCCTTCTCAATATTTTTGGTGAGCTTTCTCAATATATGTGGTGAGCTTTGTAGTTAAGTTTGGTGAGCTTTCTTAATATATTTGGTGAGCTTTCATGTAAAAAACAAAGTATTAGTCTAACATTATTTGGTGAGCTTTCTAGTTATGTTTGGTGAGCTTTCTCAATATATTTGGTGAGCTTTCTCATTAATGAATTACGTAGCTTATATTCCCCCGTGTGTAAAACTCTATTGAAACTACAATACCTATGTGACTAGGAGTACGTATTATGCTTATTTGTGAATATATAAATAAGTGGTGAACTAATTCACTTCAAACTAATTAACTACCAAAACCCTAAATCATCAATCAAATTGTTAGACTGTAACAATGGAAGCACGAGAAGAAGGATACTTTGTCTGCTCGGAAGATAGATATACGCCCAAGGAGATCCTCCGCACCACAGCCGCCGCTGTCTTGTGGAAAGCCACCGCCAAACCCTCAACACCGCCGTCGTCCTAACCGGAGAAACCGGTACAGATTCTGATGTTGCACGCCGACAAGTTGGAGTGCGGGTACGAGTTGACGGATGAGTACAAACTCGTCTAGCGTTGCCACCACGAGCACCTTGTGGGCATCCACGTGTCATTCTGGTCGAAGAATGACAACCGGCTATGGATCGTCATGCGTTCTGTGTCTAGGGTTTCGTTGAGGGCGATGATCATGTCGTCGCCCTCCACTCTACCGGAGGCCGGAGTTGGGACCCTCCTCCGGCAGATGCTCGAGGGCCTGGACTGCGTCCACGCCCTCGGAGACAGGCCCCTCAATGTAAAGATCAAATAATAGTTGCAAGACCAAAGACACAATTAATTGTAACCATTGATCAATAAAGATCAAATAAACCACAATGTAAAACTGTTTAATACTTGTCTTAGATGTGAAAATTTAATCAAAAGAGCAGTGACTAATACTTGTCTTAAAATTGAAAACCAGAGAATAAGAATGGTGTTTCACGCACATCTTCCAAAATATAGAGTTAATAGAAAATCTGTCAGAGAAAGTTTCATTTTTGGAATTTTTGACAACCACTCCAGAAATTCATCTGCAACCTTACTTGAACATGATCTATTCTATAGGTTGTACATCTAAATCTAGATATTCATCTAAGATAAAACCACTAGTATGTTGTGTTTCATCTATGCAATGACCTGATGGGCAGCAGGTCATTGCTTTTTGAGAACATCACAAAATATGAAACTAAGAAAGATTCACCGTTGAGGGAACTTTTTTGACTTGTAAATACAATGACAGATCTTAATGGATAAAAGGAAGCCTAACACAACTAAGCACTTAACAAATATTGCATTAGAAGATAAAAATCAGAAAGGCCATGGTACAAAAGTTATCCAGTTGTTACAAGCTAAAGAGTGGACTGAAATGAAAAATGTTCCAAGCATCATGACTGCTTGACACCTACAGAAGCAAAATGAGGATATTACAGATTGCTGTTTTCTCAACACCATAATAACCAAAAATCAGATTGCTAAAACTTGATCAAATCAGACATTAGGCCAAAAATCAAACTGTCACTGTATGTGTCCAAGTGTGACACATATCCTAGTTGATAAACTTGCCATATTCTGCCACTTTCCATTTCACTTGTACGGCAAGTTGATTATGATCAGAGGTGAGCATTTCATAGCAATATCGGACACGGAGCATTCTTAATCCATTTACCTACCAAGAAATTTAAATTTCAATTAAAATAAGATAAAATGTGTGATAATTTTATCTTATTTCACCTTATAAACGAAAAAGACATAAGACCTACATCACTTTTGTTCAAATCCATCTTCCACGTATTCAAATTCCCCTTGAAAGTTTCCAATTGCCTCATGGCTATGACACCAACACCCATACCTTCCATGTTCCCATAACATGCCTTCTTTATTATTTCAAAAGGAAATTTGGAAATTTTACTTGCTTTTTGCTCAAGATTTTTTTCATGGAAATACTGGCACATTCCCTTAAGTCAGTAATACCACGCTTTAAAAAGGATCTTACCAAACATTCAACACATGTATCATACACCTTAGTTTTATCTTCAATTGAATCAAGGATGGTTATCTTCTCCTTTTTCATGTTAAAACAGACTATATAAACATCATCCTTGTCTGTTTCATCAGCAACCAAGAAGAATACCTGTAGTAAAATAAGAACAGAAATGATATCAGAATAAATGAATACATTAGATACAAAACACTAAAAACAAACAATTCCATGTAGCTGACCAAATCTACAGTACTCATATCAATGCCGCTATAAAACTGTTGTTCTACCAATTCTCTGTCAGCAACTTCACAAAACTTTTCATGAGCATCGTCATATAAATTGATCTTTACAAACTCAGCCTACACGAATAATGTAAAGTTTATGTCAGTGTCACATTTGAACTTACATGCTAAATATCTCAACTTTTATACACTAAAGTACATGAATAATGTAAAGAGGTTACATACAAAAGGATTTGTGCTAAGGAAAACTTGATAGACATCTGACTTGCTTCGATGCTTTTCCTCGGCATTCAAGAATCGACACCAAATCTGTAAAATAAGCGACGAGACAGACCCTTCGGAAAAGGATATTAAATCGCTTCGCTTCATTTCACAAAACATGTCTTTGTACAAAACTTCCCTATAATTAAAATTATGGAAAATAGGATAAATAAATATCAAAAAAATCTTAATAATAATAATTAAATTAAGTAACTTTTTTACAAAACAACGTGAAAAGGTAACGCTGACCCAAGTAAAAGAGATTTGTTGAATACGTAGTCCGTGAGAACCTTCTCGGCACGGCTCAACCCTGAGAGTGCTTCCATGTTTCTTATCCAAAAAGGAGAACATAAGGCGCATGCAAATTCTTTCTTCCTTTGGGGCTGAAGTCGTCTTTTAATGAATACAGAACTTCGAACAGGGCTAGGACCGGATGCAATTTCTTAACTTGTAAAGTGAGTATATGGTGGGGTTGGTTGAAAAAGATAAGTTTCTTCTTGTTGCCCTTGAACTACACTCTCTGGGAAAGCTGGGAAAGGTTCAATTTGGGGATGACTCTGTTCCTCATCTGCCAATGCAGTGGGATTGCATGTTTGGGTTGTGCCATCTCCATTCTTTGTTTGAATCTCCTCATGCTGAATCTCTTCATGTTGAATCTCCTCATTTTGATTTTCCTTTTCCTCTAGTGTAAGCCCTAAGCTAAATGATGGCATAGACAAGTCTTTGCTGTTGGTCTCAAGGTTGTGCTTCACCGAGAAAAAATCCATTTCAAGTCGAGATATTTCAGCCAAGAAAGAAAGGCTCTCGTGGACTACTTCGAATTGCAGTTTCGGATTTGTTTCCGAAATTGGAGTACCTGATATTCTTGGACTTTTACCAACAGCAACAATCACTTCTGCAGCAGTTTGTTGCATTCTCTTGATGGCATTTGAATTTGGGAACTCACTATTCAAGCCTCTACAGACGGTGTCCCACTTTGATATTTTTTGCACCAACTCTTTTGCAGCAGTCGGTGCCTCCTCTAAAACATCGTTCTAAAACAGGTTTTTAAAAAAGAAAAAAGTGTATCAAGTTACGTTGATATTCAATGCTTCAACTTCAAATTATCCACTCAAAGTCAAACCAAATAAATATGAAAAAGAAACAAGAGCATGATCACTTCATTCATCCAAGCACGGAGTTAATTTAGGAGACTAAGACGTTGATTGAATAATCATAGAGTGTGTTTGTGTAAAAATGGATTGGATGGCAGGTAGTGAACTGAAATGTGAAATGAAATTATAGAATAAAAAAGCAAAGCACTAGTGTAGGCAGGGCATGTAACACCCTAATCCGTCCAGGTTTGCAGCCGCTTTCGGACTAAAGTATTGACTTGGTATTCGTATAATTTAAAACTTTTCAAATAACTTTATTCATCATAAATAAAATTTCATAGATAACTGTAGGAAATACAGAGTGTTTAATAATATGCGGAAGCGACTTTTACACATTTTTCATAACAAACATAATTACTTATTTTGTCAATAAATCCACCACGACTGTCTCACTCATTCTGCTTCCAGGAATATGTCAATCATTCATTCTGTCTACCTGCGTGTAGCAAATAAAACACACTACACGCTCAGTGGTGAAGCTGAGTAAGCATATCTAAAGCGTCGAACATCCACATAAATTGAATCTCAATTCATAATCAATCATTTGATATCATGAACACAATATATGATTCAAACATTCATGTTATTCTCAATATTTTATTCCAAGTCATTTGATAGTCTATATCTCAAACAACGCTCTTAAATTATTCTTAATCTAAGGCCACATCATTTTATATTCAGCTCTTAGCTATTCCTAGGCTAAGGCAGTAATTCTAACCATGCCCTTAAACTATAAATAGTTTAATGCAAAACACAAGAATCGATAATCCACCCTATGAGTCATGTGGATTACGTACCAACCGAACAGTGATTTGTCGGGTGGGTGATATCTGTTCTGGATCCCGTCCGTACGTTTTAACCCCGAACTATGAATTGGTCAAGGAGGTATATCTTAGAGGTCTTCTAGATATCCTTAATAATCATCATCAATATACAAGTGGGTGTATCTTAGAGTTCTTCTAGATATTCTTAACAATATACACCATTTTCATGATCACCATTATATGCATTTTTAATCATGATTTACTCATCAATAATCATTCTAATCAGTAGGTTTATCATTCATTATTGGCCACAATAATAATTCATCATAATGATCATTCAACATAACATTTAATAACAAATAGCGGCCTAGCCTCGAGTGTTAACACCCGAACTTACCGTCATGCATCACATAAGGTTATTGGATTTGTTAAAACATCATTTTTATTTTCAAAATCATTTCCATATTGATCATATTTGCATGTCGAGAATATGTTTAAAATAAGTTTTCTGCATGAAATAATCGATTAAACGGAGATGCAAAATTGATTAATCGCTTCTGTCTTCATAAACTTCAGTGGAATAGAGAGATAATCGATTATTTACGATCAATTAATCTATTACTAGTTACTGACTTCAATTAATCGATTAATCAGAATGCATTAATCGATTAATCTATTAATCGGAATCCATTAATCTATTAATCACAATCCATTAATCTATTAATAATTTATTAATCGGTTAATCCATGAACTATTAATCGATTAATCAGTATAAGTTAATCAATTAATCCATGAATTTATATATTAATCGATTAATTAGTATAGGTTAATCGATTAATGGTTTTTGTTCATCGTCTTCTTCCTCGGTCCATTTTCGAAAATATCATTTTAATCACCAAATTACAATAACATTATACAGAAATGTTCTCCAATGTTCACAGATCATTTTAATATCATTAATTCATGATTTTAACATCAAATTCAAGGTATATGATTCTTGGTTCTTCAAACATGTCAAAGACAAAACTCAACCAAATGACCATTTATGAACGTAAAAACAACCTATATGAACATTCTAATCTTTAGATATATCTACGGGCTTACCTCGAAGCTTAAAGGAGATTTTGAAGATTTTCCAGCGAAACTTCCGGCGACAGTAGCTCTCAACTCCGTCGACCTTACACCAATTTGACAGCACCACTACGTTCTCCACACTCAAGGCTATCTCTCAGAACGAATTTGATGAAGAATGGTGAAGAAATGGTGAAGTTTTGATTTCCATTATATAGAAGAAGGGAAGGGGAAGAAGACATGGGATGACATGTTGTTCTCCTATTTTGGCGTCTCAGTGGAGCAGACGGCCGATAAACTACGATTCCAAACGCAAGTCCTTGATTGGGACCAATTTTGGTTCGAGTCGGGGTATACTTTTTGGTCCAACTCTCTCCGAATTGAATTCCGTTTGCACCGTTGCGATTGGATAGTTAAACTCTATCAAACGATATAATTTTTATATTTATTTGTAACACTTTTTCCGACATCATATTTTTGGGTGTTTGACTTTGACAGAGTCAAAATTGGTTTAATTGACGTTTCTCATAAAAGGTTCTCTCATTTAATTCATATCAGTTATTCTCATGATTTATTTTAAGAAATCATTTCAATATTTACATTCTAAACAAATTCTTTATTTACTCTTGATTTGGGTCTGTACTTAGATTCCCAATCAAGACCACACAAATAGTCCACATACTGGATTTATCTCTATGACACTTATCCAGATTTTGATATTGGATGTCCAAAACTCATTTTATATCGGCCCAAAGTCCAACAATAATTTATTTTAATCAAAACAAATTTGATTAATTTATTATTTGTTCATTAATAATTCTAGGGTATGTTTNTTCTCCCCCCCCCCCCCTCTTAAAAGGAATTTCATCCTCAAAATTCTTCTAAGGCCAAATATTCAACATTTCGTAGCGATCTTACTTAATCATGACCGTGTCATGTTCAATGGGTTAAACCATAATTACGTCATAATTCATACGGATACGTAATCTCCAAGTGTCGATGTTACGAAACTCGTTCTTTCTTCAAGAGATTAACAATCTTTGATTAAGCAAGATATTCAGTGATCCTTCAGTGTCAACAACTAAGGTTTCCTTGCAATGTATACGGTTATATATTTAACATACTTGCACATAACTTCGTTTATTCACAATTCCCAATTGTACAACATCGATTAACGATATTTCTTCTTTTGATTGAAAGTCCTTCAGTAACCTTTGCAGTTTCGAATTATCAATGTAGTGGGAGATTTTTGGAGTTTGTCTTCAATTCACACATCATAACGTAAATTTCACTTTGAGATATCTTCGTATAGTTCTCATAGTTCAACAATGATTCGCAAATATGTCAAAGGTCTTTTAGTGGTCCAAGATTTTTTCATGATATAGGATTTGTCATCATTTAGGAGGAAATACTATCGATCGGTTGTACAGTCGTTCGTCATTTATTGATCTTTATGTCAAAACATCTCTTCACACACTTCATAGTAATCCTCATTATCGTCAATGAGTCATTGTATTAATTCGCATTCATAGGTGTTGACGTTCGAGTAGCGTCTCACATACACCTTGTCGTTTTCAACTTTCCTTTCTCGCTTTGGATGGTTCAACGTGATCTTGGTGACGTCATTTCTTCTCTGGTTTTTGCACATACATTTCTTAAGCTAGCTAGGGTCATAACAGAGTTTGTTTGGTCAATAAGATCATCGATAATAATCTTCAGAGATAATGTAATCGCATCAATCGTTTTATGGTTCAAAAAGAGAGGTTCGACATGATGTTCAAGTCAGGGTACTTTTACCATTGTGATCGAGTTATGTAGTTCATGGAGTAACGTTTTCGAAGATCGGTATCGTGATGCATCTTTGGGATTTAATGAAGAATCGTGGTTTTATTATTTTGATACAAAGAGTAGAATTCAATCTTTTCAAGATTGATCAAATGGGATGTTTCAAGGGTGTAGTTAACACATCAAGTTTGAGTAATTCAAGGATATGAGTCAAAAGATATCAAGATAGCGTCTACGAATTACTGTTACTAATCGTAGGTTTTATTCCTTCAATATTTCACTCTTTGGAAGTTACTCAAGAGGTCGTTGTCTTAGGAAATAGCCATTTTGACTTTTCGTCTTGGATTGGAACGTGTTTCAAGATAGTGAATTTAACTATTCAAGAGTCTCAATACGTCATATCGCCAGCAGACTATAGTATGAGTACGTTCTCGTCTGCAGGTAATTTGAATCCATTTTACTGTACGTATTTTGGCTGGTGATAATTACTTTTCCATCAATGGTCCGGTTTTAGAGACTATATATATCACGATTATGGAAAGAGTATCTCACATTCTCACATTATGGAAGGAACTTCTCGAACACTTCCTTACACCATGAGATTCGTTGGTCTACTTGGTAGTCATTCTCTTGGTATCAATCCAGAGTTTTTGGCTACTGCGGTAGGTTTAGGAAGGGAATTGTTAAGACAAAAAATTAAACTTGCCTATGGAGGAGGTAGTGTTGGCCTTCAAGGAGCTGTTGCTTCAACAGTCTTTACCAATGGTGGTCTCGTTACAGGTTTCATTCCTGGGTACATAGCAACACAACGAGTCTATGGACCTACGTACGGTGTAGAGCACACAGTTTCCAGTAATTCCTACAAATATTTTGAGATGAATCATGTCGTGGAAGCTTTCATTGTTCTTCCCGGAGGAGTTGACACTATGGAAGGTTTGTTCACTTTGATCTCGTGGGCTTCTAAAGGGTTACACAATAGACCCATTGGTCTCAAAAAACATTCACGGTTATTTCAATAACCTAATCAAATTTCTAGACGATGCGATGAGGCAGAACTTCATGTCTTTGAGTCAGAGGAAACTTTTCATTTCTTCTTTCTTTGTTGATGAGCTTTTAGACAAACTAGAGTTTGCTAAAGCTTTCCCGGGACCTGGGGTTAGTTATGATGAGTTTGTGAATCCTGGGAGATTAGACTTAGAATTGCATATGTAACATCCCTCATATGATCCAAGTTGTATGTTGAAATGATATTTTCCATAAATATTATTCTAGGCTGTATGACCAGTTCGAGCTATATTTTCTTCATTCTTTAGTCTTTCACTGTTGGTGTCACTGTTTCACTTCTTGTTTTGTATTGTTCCACATCGCGATCTTTCACGTTAATAGCGTATACGAACATGTCAATTTTCTTAACTATTTGCCTTGTCAGCATCGCTTTATTTCACTAATGTTTTCGACGATAAGATATTAAGTCATTTTAACAAGGCATCCGTTCATTCAACAAGGTCGAGTTGTCTATAGCTTCTAATAAACGGGTTCCTTGAATTTGATCGAACAAGTCGTCAATTCATTTTAAAGGACAGCGATTCTTGGTCGTCAGTTTGTTCAAGTTTCTTGACAGGGATTTGTGGGTATCCTGACCGTAAGTCAATCTTAGAGAATACAATGGATTCTCTAAGCTGATCAAATAAGTCATTGATACGATGTAAAGGATAACGAATTGTTCAACTAACACTAGTTGATACAGAGTCTCATAAATTCTTCTTTATTCGCGTATGAACAGAACATGCATTCTCCCAAGGAGGAAACACTTTATCGGATGATTCTTTGTCAGGAAGTCTTTGATGGAAGCACATTCATTACAGAGTTACAAATATTGGTCCTTTCTAGGATCAAGATTGACCGAGAATTCAAGTTCCCAACACGGTGAAATTTTAGAAAGTTCATGTCAAAGAGATGGCATACTTCCGGTATGTTCTTTTAGTTCAGATGTTTCTTTTCGCCTATCACACGAGTAGATTTCACACTTCTTATGGTTTGAGACGTTTTCGCATATATATTGGAGATGAACTCGGTCGGTTTAGAAATCAGTTTTGTTAGACAAATGTGCAACTCTAGAGGGGGGGGGGGTGAATGGAGTTGTTTTCAAGAGTGTGCGTTTTTCGCGTGTGTGAAATAATAAAATCGCAAGAATAAATGAAGAGAGTAAGGGAAAGAAGAACACCGAGATATATACTGGTTCACCACCTCGTGGCTAGTCCAGTCCTCCGAGAGACTCTCTCGAAAGTCCTACTAATCTTCAAGCTTCAACGGGTGCTTGAAAAACCGGTACAACTTGAGAACTTGAATCACACAAGCCTCACTTTCTTACAACAACAAGACTTGAGTCACACAAGTCTTTAGAACAACACTCAAATGAGATTGAAATTAACAACACAAGAATGAAAGCTCACACAATTGAGCAAAGTAGTGTTGAAGAATTAAAGCTCTATGGATGACAAAATCTTTAGCACTCAATAAAATATTTCTAACTCTCAAAATAATGTATATGATGAGGAAGATGGAAGCAAGAAATGAATATAGCTCAAAATGAAGATATTGGAGTGCAAGAGTTGTGTGTTAAAAAGAAGGAGAATGAGGGATTAAATTGGCTGAAGAAAAGAGAACCGTTGGAGCAGACTGAGAATAGGCACCAGACAATATTAATCGATTAAAGTGGAGAAAGTAATCGATTAGATGGCGCTGTCTGAACTAATCGATTAAGATGAAGAAAAAAATCGATTAATTGGAAAAAGTCTTCAGCGAAGAATGCAATCTTAATCGATTAAGTTTGATGGAAAAATCTATTAGACTGCGCTGTGAGAACTAATCGATTAAATGAATAATAAAAATCGATTAGTACTGAAGGCTTGAGAAATCCGAAACTGGAAATAATGCGCAAACATAAAGGGCCCAAGCCCAGTGCGATTGGAAGCCTTTGGCTTCTAACTCGTTGTTTGGGAACAACCGGAATATCAACGGACGCTCCTCAAAAAATCTCCTATTCAATGAATTTGAGTAGGGGAGAGAAAAAGAGTCCAAAAATTATTTTGTGTGTCAAACGATGAACACGAAAAATATTTAAAGTATATTTTTCTTACCAAAAAAATTGTGTAATCTTAAAAATATTTTTAAGAAATTTTTGACACACTTATTTTGAAACTGACTCAGTAAAATATTTTTAGACAGAGTAAAAGTAATTTTTCAACTGACTCAGAAAATAATAATTTTTTATCCCTCAAAACTAATTTGTTTGTGCAGAAAATATTGTCATCCTTACAAAGATTCCTACACTTAATTAAAAGAAATCTTCAGAGTCTTCACTTCACTTCAAAAAATTCTGCGTAGGGGTAAGCCTTGATTTTATCTTGATACGCCTCTTTGCTTTTCTCGATACGAAAAATAAATTTCCGATCAGCTTGAATTTAATCATCCTATTTGTCATTCATCAAAACAAAAAAGTATATTCCAGAAGAAATAATAGAGGGGTTTGAACTCATGTTCAACAATTTCCCCCTTTTTTATAATGACAAACATAGTTGAGAAAGAGCAAAGTAAGAGTTCAAAAAATACTTTCTTTTAAGAATAATCCCCTGCAAGGTTAGAGAAGTGAAAAATATTGGAGTAAAAAGCGGAAAAACGTTTTTTTTTAAAAAAAGGTTTTCTCAACTATCCTTCCTTCCCCCTTTTGGCATTATCATCCGATAACCTTCCCCCCTTAATCAATGCCGGGATATTGAAGGATAAATTTGCAAGAAATTTTCTTAAAAAAGAACTTCTAACAAGAATGCCACAAAGGGAAAATATGTTCTAAAAGAGAACCACATTGCCAAACCAACAAACAAATACATAATGGCAACATAATCATTCATCAAAAGAGTCATTAACAACAACAATAGCAAATAACAATGTATCATATTAATTTAAGAGAGAAGGAAAAACAATCAAAGAGAGTTCGCCGGACGAGCTCCCCTACTAAAGCTGTGACGCGGGCCACGGTAGGAGCGGGATTGCTCAAAACGAGTCATCCTCTCGTTGAGCTGGCGAACGTCATCTCGGATGCACGTGAGAGTATCGAACATCCTCTTCACCCAAGAAGGTTCCGGTGCTTCTTCTCTTGGACGAGTCCTGCGTTGACGAGTGACGCGCTCCGTGGCTCGACTTCCTCCGGCACGAGATGACTCAGCTTGAGTCTCGTTTTGGCTCTCTTCTTCGTTTGCGACTATCAGGTCCAGATTTGGTGCAGCATTGCCCTCCTCACGGTACACGATCCGGGAAAACTTGGCTTCAGTGATGAAACAAGTCTTCTTGACCGGCACCTGAGTGTCCCGAGTAAAGTCTATTTTGCAATGAGCAAGGATATGTGTTGGGAAAAATATCATAGATTTTGATGATGATGTATTTAGAATGTAATAGGGACTTTAGGTCTCCCCCAATATTCAATGTAATTTTTCTTTTTAGAAATATTGTTAAAACCAAGTTCTTGAGATTTCCAATGAGGTTGTGATATTTCTTTAAGCGTTTTGATGCCTGAAGACCTAATCAAATTCAGTGATATGGAAATTGGATATCTTGATCGGAAATGCCAGAGACAAGTAAGGATTTCTCAAGCAGATGAAAATCCTCTGATCCGGAAGACTACATAAGAACCGGAAGTCTCGCTACAACCCGCTGAAGGCTAAGTCATCCAAATCGGAAGACTAACGCGGATCTCTTTCTCACCTGGAAGTCTGAGAATGACTTCTCCGGATTTGTCAGCTAAGAACCGGATGCCTCAAGGAAGACCGGAATTCTCAAAAAGCGGACAAGTGAGAAAAGACTTGGAAAATTATCTAAGTCTTGAATGAAGAAATTCTACCCGTTGGTAAGGAAAAATCAATCTCTTGATTTTCAACGGCTAGATTGAAGATAATTATGCTGATTTATGAACAAATGACTCGAAGACAAAGTCTGAACCTCTAAGAATTGAATAACCTGTCCAGAATTCCTAAACAAGCACTAGAAGACAAACAGAGTAAAGTTCTACAGTCCAGAATACTTGAACAACAGCTAGAAGACGGACTCTATGGAAAAAGGAATCTCTCCTTTAACAAATGGGTATGTCCAAACACCCATTCCAATGAGGAATCTTCAAATCTCAATCTTCATTCAAAATTGAAGCCAGCAAATGCAACGGATAGTCTATTATGATTCAACGAATAGATTATCCAATCCAGCTATAAATAGCATCCTTGGAAGACTGGAGAAAAAAACGATGAGATACAACAACACAACGAAGCAATCTCTAACAACAAAGCTATCTCATTCACAGTTAGCCCAAAAAGCTTGATAAAGAGAGATTTCTAAACTCCTTATCTAGAAGCAAACTTCTCCCCCTTCCAAAGAGCTATAGTGTAAACACTTGAAGGTTTCCTTGCCTCAAGCACCACACCACATTGAAGGATATTACTTTTGATCAAACTTATTGATTAAAAGGGGGTAGGTCAACTCTCTTACAAGTTGATCTTGCAAGTCCTATTGTTCAGACCTTGCAGTTATTGAAGAAGCTTGACCTTCGAAGGAACAACAAAGCCAGCACGAGTGTAGTAGCAACATTGGTCTTGTGAAGATATACCGTGCAGAAATTCACACAAGTGTAATTGTTGGTTCATTATTCAAAAACCAACTACATAGTGGATTTTGAGGACGTAGAAGGATTACCCCACCTTCGAACCTCGTTAAAGTTTGCGTGTCTCTCTCTTTTATCTTTATTCTTACTTGCAATTATATTAACTATGAAAACTAACCCATCCATATTGATTACTGCTCACTCTACCCACCAAATTCCGCACACAATCTAAAGTTCACAAGGACTCTAGATTAACACTCATTTTCACGTTTTCAAAAGAAACAAAAAGAGTTCAAAACTGTAACAAAGTCTATTCACCCCCCCCCCCTCTAGACTTTGTATTTCACCACTTTGGGACCACCAATTGGTATCGGAGCAAACTTCTCACTATCTACGTTTAGATTAACGAGAAGCGATCATAATGGTGAACAATATGGATCACGGTTTGCCCAAATTTTCTCTCTTAGGTTATGATGATTGGAAGATCATGATGGAAGCACATCTCTACGCTCTACATGATTGCATGTGGATGGTGCTTGAGGATGGACCCTTGAAAATCCAAATGGAGAATCTTGAGAGGAATCCAGCAACTCTTGATGTAGTCTAGTACATTCCAAAGCCCAAGGAAAAATGGGATGATAGAGATTGTAAAAAGAACAATCTGGACAACATCGCCAAAGCAGCCATCTTCAAGACACTTGATCCCATCACCTTCTCCAAAATCAAGCATCTCAAGACTGCCATGGAGATATGGCAAGGTCTTGGGAAGCTATGTGAGGGATCAGAGGACTTGAGAAAGCAGAAGATAGAAGTCCTACTTGAGAAGTTCAAAAGCTTCAAAATGCTTCCCGGAGAATCATTTGATATGTTGGATGAAAGGTTCCACAAAATCTTGAATGATCTTGCCTCACTTAACCACGTTCTTTCTCCCAAAGAAAAGAATGTAAGGTTGCTGAGATCACTCCCAACTGAGTGGTACACCAAAGCCACAGCCATGGAAGAAGGAAGAAACCTGGAAAACTACACTGTNGCTATAACTGCAGGAAGCCTGGCCACTGGAAGTCAGCATGCCCGTACCCAAAAGTGGAGAAGTACGGAGAAAGAGAAAGGATCGAGAAGAAAAAGAAAGCAATGGTTGCTGCTGAAAGTGACGAGTCATCCAGCTCAAGCTCGGATGAAGAAGCCCTCGTCTGCATGGAGCGCAGAGTTGAGAAGTCCAACCATGAGGATAGGTGGACTATGTCAGAAGATGACACTCTCTGCCTAATGGCCAAAGATGATGCTGATCAAGAGGAAGCCGCTAAGTACCCAGGTGTCTGGTACTTAGAAAGTGGCTGTTCAAGACACATAACGGGTGATGCGAGCCTTTTGAGCAATCTAATTCCCTATGATGGTCCAAGAGTTAATTTTGGAGGAAGCAATGATTTCGGCCTTACTAAAGGGCTAGGAAATCTGGTGTACAAGATACTAACCATCCAAGCTGTATCTTATGTTGAAGGACTCAATTATAACCCTCTTAACATAAGTCAGTTTTGTGATAAAGGTTACTCCTTGGAATTCTGCAAGGACATGGCATCTCTCAAGAACATCTCCACAAATAAAGTCATTCTCACTGGGAAGAGAATCAGAAACATCTATGAAGTGATATGGAGCGATGTCAAGGAAGCATGTCTAATCAGCAAAGGTGACACTAACCTTCTATGGCTTTGGCATAAGAGGTTGAGTCATCTCAACTTCAAAACCCTCAACAAGCTGTCCAAAGAAGAGTTAGTAGAAGGTCTTCCCAAAGCTGCATTCAGAAAAGAAAGTATTTGTGATGCGTGCCAAAAAGGAAAGCAAGTCAAGTCCACCTTCAAGGCAAAATCGGCACCCTCAACTACAAGGATATTAAGTCTTATTCACATGGACTTATTTGG